TCCGTTAATACAACGTGAAGTAGATGCTGTGAATGAATGGTTATCAATAAATAAGGCATGGCATATAATGCGTGATAGTGAATATCATTATCATGAAATGCTTGGTAAGACTTTTTATTTGTTAGAGAGATAGATGAATTTATATCTGAGAAAACTATGGATTCATTTTAGACTTTGCTCTCAGTTAAATTATATTTTTCAAAATATTCTTTTATTCTAGGTGGTCTGTGGGGTTTTCGCCCTGCATTAGATCGAACATTTTCGAGACAATTACTACGAAAAATGGTCAATCGTACCCTAATTACTATGTATCATACAAACGGTGATCAAGATTTTTTAAAAGAACATGTATGGCCTCATATTCAAGATAATTTTATTGCGCATGATAGTTATAAATGTAATACATCGTATGGAAAAAACTCTCAACCATGGCCATCACGACGACCAGTAGTGAATAGTACGTTTAATAATTGTTTCGTCGGATGTGTTCGTAAGTGTTGTGAACCGTATGCTTTCACACTTAAAGAATGTCCATTGGAATGTCGACCAAAAAATCATCCAGATTGGTTATGGTGTTAGAAAATATATTTTTTCTTTTCTTTTCTTTTTTGTCATTAAATATAACTGTAAATGAGATATTTTACTTAAATAATTAGTGTAATAGTTGTATTTATATCATTTTCAAGCGAATATCTAGTCAAATGTTTGTATATTTCATTTTTTGATTCACGAAGAAAAAATAAACTGATTCTAAGAAAGATCTTTAATGAAATTATAGTAAAATAAGTTAACAATAAGTATATAAAGCAAGATAGTCGAATGGCTTTATACATAGGTATCATTGTTCGAATCTATCACATAGTACATTTCTCCTCAACGCCACAGGCAGGATAGATATTAGTTCACCTGGCCTTTCCAGTTTGTGGAGAATATAAAATTAAGAATGATAGGAAGCTGGGGAGATTTCCAGTATCTCATCTAGTGCCGTTAATTCATCCTACATCTTTTTTTTTTTTTTATAAAAAATTCTTTTTTTTCCTATATATTACAAAACATACTGAAATTCAATATACTTTTACAACTTATTAAATGTAGTAGCTATTTCATTTTATTTGAAGAGATCGAAAATAACTTTACTACATATTATAAAGCAAGATAAATAATCATATCGTCACTATTCGATATTCTCGGAAGAGAAAACCGAATCTGCATGACACAAAAAAACATAAAATTCAAGTTGTCTTCTATTGATTACTTTGTATGTATCCTGAGTCAGAAATCTTATTCGAAGTTGAAATTATTTTTATATTCTATTCTATAGATGATGTTGTTGTTTGATATGTGTCATGGCATATATACTTATCGTTGTTTTTTTTCTTTCTTTTTTCGTATTCAAAATACTCGTTGAGTCAAGAGATTGACACATGCCTTCCATTAACCACATATGTAGACATTCTCCTTTCTCTCGATTAAGCAAGACTACCATTGTATTTTTAATCGTATATAAACCATTTCATGTAACGGCAGAATAACACAATTTTAACATGCAAAATTTTAGAAATCATATTCAAAATTTTTCAACCGAACTTTTACTTGAAATATTTGATTATCTTTCAATAAATGATTGTTTCAATGCATTCTATAATCTTAACAAAAAAATGAATTCTGCTTTATATATATCCGGCTATTCAATTGATTTAACAGTTATCTCTCGACAAAAATTTTACGAATTTTATCAAAATATTATATTCCCAAATTATTCTCAACAAATACGAAAATTAAAAATAAGTAATGATTTAACTATTGGTTTACTTGATAAATTTTTCAATGAATATTATCTTCGTGATTTTATACAACTTCGATCATTAACATTAATTAATAAACCATCATATATAATCTTAGGTAGTATTGCTTTATTAATACCTCATCTTAAACAATTGGAACATATATCGATTGATTCAAATTCATATCCAGATAGTTTTTTTGAAAAAATTACAACAAAATCATCAACAATTAAATCATGTTATTTACCAGGATTACAAATTCAAGATAATTTCACATTCGAATCAAAAATTACATATCTTACAGTAACGGTTGAAGATATAACAATACTTTGGAATTTATTAGCTAGATTTTCTCAGTTGAAATATCTTAATGTTTTTTTACGATCAACTGTAGATGCGAATGAAGAATGTTTACCGAAATTAAATGTAATTTCGTGTAACAATCTTCAAATATTTAAACTACATATTTTAGAACAATCAAGTATTGAATTTAATGAAATTGAATATTTATTTCAACGAATATTATTTCCGGATCTTATATCATTTTCATATGATTGTGTAACTAATTCATTAGATCATTTTAATGTTACTCATTGGAATGACATTTTATCAAAGTATTTATCTACAATTAAAAAATTTGTTTTACTTGTTCAAATTCCATATAAGTTACCTGTATATATTAATATTAAAGAAGCTCTTATTGATATGCAAAAAAATCTTCATACTCCAATACCATTTTCATTATCAATTGATTATGAGTATTATATGATTCATACAGATATTTATCCTAAGAAGAATTTTAATTTATCATTAAAACCACCAAATTTAAATTTATATTCTAATAATTATGATCCAATCAATTGTGATATAATTGAGAAATATTCAAAAGTAAACTCACTTATTTTAGATTGTAATTCAATTTTACCATGTATGATATTATCAAAAAATATTCAATATTTACAAATACAAGGTTATAATGATAATTTAAATCTTTCGAAATCTCTTAAAGATTGTTCGAATCAACTTCTATCATTAAAAATATGTGGTTTACCAAATGATTTACCACATATGTCTAATCTTCGACAATTAACAATTCAACAAATTATGTTTGATTTAAAAATGGTATCGAAATTAGAATTTATATGTCCTCATCTTGAATTACTTACAATTGAAATTGATTGTATTCAACAATTTGGAAATATATTAGATCAACTCCGATATAAATCTAACTTAACTGAACTTAAATTTATACGTGCCTTTTCGAGAGATCCGATACAAACATGGTCATCTTGGCTTAATGAAAGAAAACAAATAATTCCTTCGGATAATAATATAGCCTACGAAGCAAAAAATTCCTATTTATTTATTTGGTTTTGATAGCAAAACAAAAATACTGCATAGATAAAAAAAAAAGAGAAAACAATATTTAGATCCATTGTGGATAATTTTCATCAATTGGAATTAAAGAACTACGACGTGGAACAATGGAACGTTTAGTTGAATGTCGTTGTCGATTGGAATCTTTATTATTATACAGAAGACGTTTCAATGGTATGATATCTGTTGATTGATGTTTATTTCGACGTGGTGTTGATGTCAGATAAGGTTTAAGTAAAATATTTTCATTTGAAGAAGTTTTCGGTGTACTTGTTAAAAATAGATTTTTTTTTGGTGATATTTTAAAAGTTTT